TATTATATAAAATATATTTCATCGTGATTGGGTATTAGTTACATTCATTAGTCCAATTCGGTGCCCCTGTTAGAGGCCATAAATATCATGTCTACAAAGTTTCGTGCGTCGATATAACGAACGTTACATAGTGAGCAACATATAGGTAATATTACGAAAACCAGTTTGTTTTTATACTATGTACTAAGTACCGGACCTACTGTGTAGCATAATCAGCTAGCAATTCTAATTTAGGATGGTAACGTGAGAAGTGAGAATAACAAACTAAGTATGCCTGAAATACAGCTCTTCTTCATTCGCTCTGGTAGATAAGGAGCTTAACAATAGTGGTAGAGTGCATGGTTGTTGTAGGTATTTTATACATTAGCGGATGTGGATGCTGTTACCTCTGGATGGATTTTGTTACCTCAACATCAGTTGATGCTGACGTGAATGCGGATTTCGTGTATTTGAAAAAAAATTGAAAAATTTACAAATTTCTATTGAATCTACATGGAAAAATCATTTTTAACAATTTTGTGATATTTATTAACGAAAAAAAAAAACAACCTGTGTGATCAATCAACCTGCCAAGTTTAATCATCACACTGGAATTTTATCAAAGGTGAAAATGACGGCTGAGCTGCTTGTTCGGCTTGAAGTCTGTTTCTGAATGGTTTTGTAAATTAGTCCACCGTATCGTCATCTCCGTCCTTTCCATGTTACGCAGTGCATATATCGGCAATGAATATCAGCATCGATCAATGCAGAGGCTGATGCGGATGCAGATAAATATTTAACTTTACGAAATTTACAAGAATGCGAAATCGACTTTGAACCACTCGACAAATCTATATTAGTAGGAAATTAAAACAAATGAATGAAAAGACGATTAATTTTTATTTTCACATTAGCCCTAAAATAAAAGTAAAATATCGAGTTCTTGGGTTTTCGCGATTGTTACACATAGGAAATGAAACTATTTTTCCGGATTTCGGAAAAAAAACAAATATACGCGATTTAAATCCGGAAAAATAGTTTCATTTCCTATAAAAGTAAAATAACCAACAAAACTTTTGAAATACACTACTTGTTTTGGGAATTTCAGTAGTGTTACATCTGTGGCATATAAGTACAACCATGGTATAACCAACTTAATTACTGTACTCATTCCTTATTTAAAAAAATATTAGCATTTATACTATCTATTATACCAATTATATCTATTATCTCCCTGTGAAAGAGTTCGTCCACGGAAGTACTGCCACCTTACTTATTTCTGCCGCCAAGCAGTAATGTGAGCGTAACATCTTTGCGATGTAAAGCTCTGAGTGGCACTGCAACTGCTACGGACAGACGTGTCGCTTGTCACCCGAC